TTCAACAGGGCCAACTTTTGATGATTTCCGGCACTGTTAGTAATCTTCTTTTTTTCAGAGACGGTATTGTGCTTCAGCACTGTTGAGGGGTACAATAGTGCCAAAAAAATGTTCAACAGTGCCAAATTTTGATGCTTTTTGGCACTGTTGATCTTTTTTTGTTTTCCTGCGGCAATGATGTGTTCGGCGCTGTTAATGGCTAGTACTACATTGGCGAAATGAAGGTTGTTCATTAGAGCTAATTTTTGATGATTATTGGCACCGTTGAAAGTTCTTTTTTTTCGGCGGCAAGGCAATGTTGTACTTCGGCACTGTTAAGGGCTAGTACAACAGCGCCGAAAAGAATGCTGTTCAACAGTGTCAAGGTTTGATGCTTTTCGGCACTGTTGAGCTTTTTTTCCGCCGGCATTGTTAAAATTCTAAGCTTTTAACTGTGTAACTCTCAACTGTGTACTTCGTCACTGTTGAGAGTTAGTACATCAGTGCCAAAAAGAATGCTATTCAACAATGCCAACTTTTGATAGTTTTTCGGCACTGCTGAACATTTTTTTTATTTTCCGGCGGCAATATTGTACTTCGGCGCTGTTGATGGCTAGTATATCAGTGCCGAAAAGAATGCTATTCAACGATGCCATTTTTTGATAAATTTTTGGCACTGCTGATCAACTTGTTATTTTCAGGTGGTAATGTTGTACTTCGGCGCTGTTGATGGCTAGTACATCAGTGCCGAAAAAATGCTATTCAACAATGCCAACTTTTGATGATTTTTGGGCACTGGTTAATTTTTTTTTTATTTTCCGGCGTCAAGGCTGTACTTAGCGCTGTTGGTGGTTGGTACTAGATTGCCGAAACAAAAGTTGTTCATAAGTGCCAAATTTTGATGATTATTGGCACTGTTGAATGTTCTTTTTTTTCGGCGGCAATGTTGTACTTCGGCACTGTTGAGGGTTAGTACAACAGCGCCTAAAAAAATGCTGTTCAACAGTGCCAAGAATTGATGCTTCTCGGCACTGTTGAGCTTTTTTATATTCTGGCTGCAATGTTAAACGTCGGCGCTTTTAAGTGTTAATACATCGGTGCCGAAAACAATGCTATACAACAATGCCAATTTTTTAACGATTTTTGGGCACTGCTTATCATTATCTTTTTTCCGGCGGAAATGTTGTACTTCGGCGCTGTTGATGGCTAGTACTACAGTGCCGAAACAAAGGTTGTTTATTAGTGCCAATTTTTGATGATTATTGGTATCGTTGAAAATTCTTTTCTTTTTCGGCGGCAATGCTGTACTTTGGACTGATGAGGGTTGGTACAGCAGTGCCGAATAAAATGCTATTCAAAAATGCCAACTTTTGATGATTTTTGGGCACTGTTTAACCTTTTTTGTTTTTCGGAAGCAGTATTGTGCTTCAGCACAGTTGAGGGGTACAAAATTGCCAAAAAAAATGTTCAACAAGGCCAAGATTTGATGCTTTTCGTCACTGTTGAGCTTTTCTGTATTCCGGCGTCAATGTTGTACTTGGCGCTAGTGGTGGTTGGTACTACAGTGCGGAAACAAAAGTTGTTCATTAGTGCCAATTTTTGATGATTATTGGCACTGTTAAAAAATGTTTTATTTTTTGGCGGCAATGTTGTACTTCGGCACTGTTTAGGGTTAGTACAACAGCGCCGAAAAGAATTCTATTCAACAATGCCAACTTTTGATGACTTTGCGGCACTGCTGAACAATTTCTTGTTTTCCGGCGGCAATATTGTACTTCGGCGCTGTTGATGGCTACTACTTCAGTGCCGAAACAAAGGTTGTTCATTAGTGCCAATTTTTGATGATAATTGTCTCTGTTGAAATTCATTTTTATTTTGGCAGCAATCTTGTATTTCGGCACTGTTGAGGGTTAGTAAATCAGTGCCGAAAAAAGTGCTATTCAACAATGCCAACTTTTGATGATTTTTGAGCACTGCTAAAAATTTTTTATTTTCCGTCGTCAAGGCTGTACTTGGCGCTGTTGGTGGTTGGTACTACCTTGCCAAAAGAAAGGTTGTTCATTAGTGCCAATTTTTGATAATAATTGGCACTTTTGGACATTGTTTTATTTTCGGCATCAATGTTATACTTCGGAACTGTTGAGGGGTAGTAACACAGTGCCTAAAAGAGTGCTGTTCGCTGAAGACTTTTGATGATTTCCGGCACTGTTTAACAATCTTCTTTTTTTGTGTGCTTCAGCACTGTTGAGGGGTACAATAGTGCCAAAAAAAGCAGTTCAACATTGCCAAATTTTGATGCTTTTCGACACTGTTGAATTTTTTTTGTTTTCCTGCGGCACTGTGTACTTCGGCGCTGTTAATGGAAAATACTACATTGGCGAAACGAAGGTTGTTCATTAGAGCCAATTTTTGATGACTATTGGCACTGTTGAAAGTTCTTTTATTTTTCGGCGGCAAGGTTGTACTTCGGCACTGTTGAGGGTTAGTACAACAGCGCCGAAAAGAATGCTGTTCAACAGTGCCAAGGTTTGATGCTTTTGGGCACTGTTGAGCTTTTTCATTTTCGGCGGCAATGTTAAACTTCGGAGCTTTTTAGTGTTAGTACATTGGTGCCGAAAACAATGCTATTCAACAATGCCAATTTTTGATGATTTTGGGCACTGCTTATCATTATTTTTTTTCCGGCGGAAATGTTGTACTTCGGCGCTGTTGATGGCTAGTACTACAGTGCCGAAACAAAGGTTGTTCAATAGTGCCAACTTTTGATGATTGTTGCCACTGTTGAAAACGCTTTTTGTTTCGGCGGCAATGCTGTACTTCGGCACTGATGAGGGTTAGTACATCAGTGCCCAAAAGAATGCTTTTCAACAATGCCGTTTTTTGATGATTTTTGGCAACTGCTTAACATTATTTTATTTTCCGGCGGCAACGTTTTACTTCGGCGCTCTTGATGGCTTTACTACAGTGCTGAAACAAAGTTTGTTGATTAGTGCCAATTTTTGATGATTATTGGCACTGTTGAGAGTTCGTTTTTTTTCGGCGGCAATGTTGTACTTCGGCACTGTTGAGGGTTTGTACATCAGTGCCGAAACAAAGGTTCTTCATTAGTGCCAAAATTTGATAATTCTTGGCGCAGTTGAACATTCTCGTTTTCTCGGCGGCAATGTTGTATTTAGGCACTGTTGAGGGGTAGTACAACAGTGCCGAAAAGAATGCTCTTCAACAGTGCCAATTTTTGATGTTTTCAGGCACTGTTTGACCCTCTTTTATTTGTCGGCGGTGATTCGGTTCTTCAGCACTGTTGAGGGGTATAATATTGCCAAAAAAAGCTGTTCAACAGTGCCAAGGTTTGATGATTTTCGGCAATGTTGAGCTTTTCTTCTATTTTTCGGCGACAACGTTGTACTTCGGCACTGTTGAGGGCTAGTACATATGTGCCGAAACAATTGATCTTCAACAGTGCCAAATTTTGATGATTTTTAGCACTGTTGAACATTCTTTTTTGCCGGCAATGTTGTACTTCGGAGCTGTTGAGGGGTAGTACAACAGTGCCAAAATTCATCAATTTTTTGGAACTGTTGCATACTTTTTCAATTTAGGCAGTTTTGTACTTTGGCACTGTTGAACGCCCCTCAACCAAACAGTGAATAACAAGTTTAACAAAGGTCAAAAGGTTGGAATGAAATAATAAGTTTTAGTTTTGGGTTGTCAATAAATTTTGGTGATTATAATCATCATCAACTCCACACTTGTCCTCGTGGACAATGATAGCATCCCTAGTCGATCAAGGGAGGTTATCTTGCAAGATCTTGCAAGAATCTTGCAAGATTCTTTTAAAGAGGATGCATCTCTTTAAAAGATCTTGCAAGATTCTTGCAAGATCTTGCAAGACAACCTCCTTTAAAGATAACCTTTTTTTTGCAAGATCTTTAAAGATACAATTTTTTTGGGCAAAAACAGCTTTACACGCGAAGACAACCAAGTAGCGTTCGTGGAAGAAGGAAGCAATCTTAGCTACGCTTACATACACACAGCCCGCTAGGCGGTTGCCCCCAGAAAGCTTCTTTTTTTAAAAACTTTTTTTTGTGATAGGCAGCTATTTTCAAATTTTGATCGACTACTTATACCTTTGTAGATTGCAAAGGAGTAATGAACGCAAGTAGACTCGAAGATTGCAAAGGAGTAATGAACGCAATTAAACCTTAAAAAATAACACTGACGTTGTTGAAAAATCTCAACTTTCAAAACTCAAAGAAAAAAATAGAAGCCCTTTAAGCTCTTTAAATTTCTAGAACAATTTATGATGGGCGCTTTTTTGATAACATGAAACCGACTTGAGAAAACTGGATCAATAAGTAAAGTTTTTATTCTCTGGAAATCTAAAAAATAAATTCCACTTTCAAAACTAGAAATCGATAGTCGAAAAAACTAAATATCCCCGGTTTGAACTAATTAAAGCAATTCGTCACAAAAACTTTTTGGCCAATAATCCTTCAATTTTCGCAAACCAGTAGCAGCAATAATTGCGAATAAATTAAAAAGATTTGATTGGTTGATACTTTTAATCTCATTGAATAAATTAACAACAGATATGCGACTACTTTTTAACGCATGATTTTTGTCTAATTTTATTCGTTAAGCATTTATTTGAAGTGATGCAAGTAAATTTTTGAGATCAATTCGAAAAAGTTTTGGATTCTCGTTCTAGAAACAATTTTTTTGATCTTACACCTAATTTCTGTTATTTTTTTTGTGTTTTTTGGACAGAAATTTTGGGATGGTTATCTTGCAAGATTCTTGCAAGATTCTTGCAAGATAGCCTCCCTCTTTCAAGATTCTTGCAAGATAACCTCCATCTTGCAAGATCTTGCAAGATAACCTCCATCTTGCAAGATCTTGCAAGATAACCCTCTTTTGCAAGAATCTTGCAAGATCTTGCAAGATAACCTCCCTTGATCGACTAGGGATGTTCGTTTAGTTATGATTGTACACGCTGTCTAATTGAATACGAACTTCTCTAAATACTTGAAACATCTAGAATATTTCGTCGAATAGCTTTACTCTTTGTCTTTACAATCATGTGCTCAAGTTTGTTTAACCATCATAAGGTGATATTTGGAAAACGAGATTAAACATAAAACAAAAAGGCCAATATTACAGCATACCTTACCATTTCTTGCAACTAGTGTGATCAATTTTGAAAACTATTGAGCCTGCAAAAGGAAAGCAATCGCAAGAATAAAATGGGTATTACTAGATCTACGCCTCAGCAAAACTTGGACCCTGTCGAGCTTGGTGGAATCTCGGCTGACCTGAAAAACCTTCTGGAGTTGAATGGATTGGGGAAGGAAATGTTCGAGAGAATTCAGGAGGAATCAGATCAGTGGAAAAAGGTACAGTTTAAAGAGCTGCGATGTGATGTTGGCGGCTGACTTCTCGAAAAAATGTAGCCAGTTTTTATTTTTTTTAGGCACGTCTCAATTAATTATGTAAAAAAAACAGGATTTTTTCAACATTCGATTGTTTGTATTTTGAAGTTGAGTTAGCAAACATTGGCACTTAGCATAGTGGTAATTCGTTCACTTCGTGATCATCAGATTGTCAAATCGACTTGATCCCCTGCCATGACAATGATAGAGTGTGAGGTCGAGCTCAATCTTGACCTCCAGCTTCAGGTCTACCACAACCTGACCGATGTCCGCTGCAATAGTGGTAACACGTGAAGGTTCTAGTTGCAAAAAAGAGCTTCGCTAACAAAAAAACTCATTCTAGAATGTAAAGAAACAAGAGTGTGCCGGCTCCAATCTGTCAATGTCTCAAAAAAAACCTGAAAATAATGCTAAGAAACACTTGAGTTATAAAGAGTAATTCTTCGGTAAACAACTCTCAAAACGATCAATTTCGGCTTTTTATATCAATCATAACAACAACAATTTATAGCTGCAAAATCAAAGCAAGCTTTTAACACACTGGTACTTGCTCTTGAGACAAACTGCTCTTTTATGGAGGTCAGACTCAATCAAGTGTGAACCGTGTTTGAAAGAAAAAAAAAACAATTAAAAATGATCAAACGGGTATATAGCCCCTCCATTATATATGTATAAAGGTCAGCGTATGGGGGTATTCGAACTCGGCGACCGGCGGTTTGAACGTTTTCATATACATTAGCCCATAGTCGCTTTTCAGTTCTATTTACGTTCGCACTTTCGTTATATGCATTTTAATTTTGCACTGCAACATCCTCTGCCCCCAACGACGGAAGAACTGGGGTAAGCTTAACCGTCAGTCGGTTAAGTTCCTTCGAGGCTGTCTCAATGAGGGCGAAACGAGCACATCCGTCTTTGTCGTAGTTAATTTTAACGACGCCAGCGGCAGGGTAAAATCCTCGCGGGCGGTCGGGCTCAATCACCCATACGAGAACACCTGATTTAAGTGTGAAGTCAGACTGAGTGTGCCACTTGACACGCTTATTCAGTGAGGGAAAATATTGGCGAAGCCAACGAGACCACATAGTGTAAGCGTACGATTGCGCTCGCACGTACTTTTTGTGTGGTCGAATTGTTCCTCAGGTAGAAGCGAAGGAAAGCTTGTGGCATGTTGACCAACTAAAAAGTGTTTTGGGGTTAACGCTTCAACTCACGTGAGTTGGTACTAACGGGAGTGATTGGCCTCGAAGTCGAAGCCTGCTCAACTAAGCAGAGTGTTGTTCCTATTAAATCTTCAGTGATTTGCCTACTGCCTAGTATATCGTAAAGCACGCGCTTCTTGCTTCGGACGAGGCGCGCCCAGGAGCCGCCAGAATGGGGTGCGCCTGGCGAGTTAAATTTCCAGACAAAAACTTTGTGTGCAAAAATGGTCGGAGCCATGCCATTCTAGTTTTTGATGCAGGCAAGTAATTCCTTTTTCGCACAAACGAAGTTCGCGTCGTTGACCGACCAGATCGTGCTTAGTTTACCACGACGCTTACTGACTTGTGTCCAGAGATGGCGAAACCTCAAGGTGTGCAGCCCTTGTGGTGAGACAAGTGAAAGAAATCCCCATCTTTGTTCAGTGCTTTTGCAAATCGGAACGTAAAGTGGTCGTAAGTAATCCACACTCGTATGGTTAAAGGATGGTTGGTTATATCCGAGACGTTCGATAGTTAAATCGGACATAATTGGCTGGATGGTACTAGCTTTGCGTATGTTACATGTTGTTTTTCGATATAACGAAGTAGTCAACGCAATACAAGTTTTGCATATTTCATATTTAAAATTAAGCGCAGTGGTCTACGCCTGGATGAAGATGCTTACAGTGGAGGCTGTGGGCCAACAGGTGAGCCACGGCATGACGGGCGTGGAGTAATATTGGGTGCTTCGTATCAAACTCATTATTCACTGAGAGCACAATCCGGCTGGTGGAAGTTCTAACTTAGGTTTTGACACCGCTTTCACTGGCACAACAATCGTTTTAGCGAAGTCAAAAAATATTTCAGTATTGTGCAACTTTATAAAACGCGCATGCAAAATCTGACGGCGCAGAAAATATCCTGCGAGCTATCACCGAACATGTGAAGCTCGATACGATCCACAGGCTCTGTGAAGTAACTGCGGGGAAGTGTCAGTTGAACTAAAAGATAGAGGCCGGAGTGCCACTCATTAAAATTTTCACTCTGCTCTTCTGGTAAATCATCAACCTTTTTTAGCCACTTATTCGCCAAACGTCTCTAGATAAACGACGGGCAATTACAGTGTACGGGGCTTCTAACCCCTAATAAGGTCAAATACCGACAATACAAAACTCAAAAGGGCTCCTTGAGTTATCGCCAAATCGAGAGGGCGATTAACACCTCGGCTTAAAACTAATCTTTCTTTTCCAGGATCCTAATTAAGACCTAAGTTGTGCGACGATTGTTCAGCTTTTCATATCTCCTTTACCAAAGAAGGTGTCTCAATGGCTTCGGGGTTATTTGTGAATGTTGTTTCTTCAACTGACAAGACTAATGAAAACAGGCCGTTCAAGGGTTTCTTAGATAATGAATTTAATTAAGTGCAATCTCAAAACCATGGCATTACTGAAAAATTCAGACAAAACAAAACCACCTAATTTAAGTAAATTGACCCAATCCCGACTAATTGTTACTGCCTGCTCGATTTTTTTGTCCATATAATTGTCCATATAAAACTTTTCGGCAACCCTTGATGCTGCTTCAGGATATGTCGACATGTTATCATTTGCTGTTTTTTGTAAAGTGCAATTCGCATCTGTAGGCGAATCCCGGGCGCCAAATACATGGCGAGAGTACTGATGACCTACCACATCCGATTTGGGATCCTTCCTCCACAAAAAAGGAAGGAAAGATATATCTTGGTCGCGGCCTCCTACCTGTAGAAATATGCCCTCTATATCCGCGGAGACGACGTACTTGTGCACCAAAAGCACGAATATCAGATTTTGGGGTGGGTATGGAGCCACAGATAGGGGTTGATTTAAGGTTGTGCTACGAAAGATAGCAGCCCTGTTAAGGACTCGGCGCACTTTAACCGGCTTATTCGGATTTGTATCTGTGTGGTGCGAAAGATACCACTCGAAACCGCTTCGCAAATGTGGATCATGCGGCTCAACTGTAAAGACATGACCTTTCTTGATGTTCTCCCTTATTGTATTTGCGTACCTTCTGCGCAGTTCTGGGTCTTTACTTAGCTTTCGCTCCAAAGTTGTCAATTTTGCAAGCGATGACTAACAATTGTTAGGTAGGCTGCCACTGTTATCAGCCCAAAGCATAGTCACAATTTAATTTTCACCATTATGAAAAATTTCGGAATATCAAATGGATAAAGCGCGTTTTTTGCGGCACAACGGCTCCATAAGATTGCAATTCTTACCAAGAGTTTATCTGGCCCTTTAGAGAAGAATCCTCAACAACGCACTTAAAGCAAGAAGAAGTTAAACCGGCGGACGGCTGTAACTGATCACTAATGAACCAACCTAACGTTAGGCGGACGGAACATGGTGAGTTAGAGTCTTCTCCTAAGAGAACTCAACCGGATGATTGGCGTGGTAGTAATAATGTCCGAGGATAACTTCTGCATCCTCATAATTGTACTTTATGGGCTTTATTGGAGCAAACTAAAAATTTTTACTCTGCAACTCAGGTACATTGATACATTCTGTGCCAATATGAATGTTGTCTCCTACGTAAATTTCCATATTGGAGGATAAATTTGCGTTATTCAATTCAGACGCGACATTGAATTTAACCCGGTGAGTTTCCATGACTTTTACGGCATTAAAATCTCTGATAGATAAGTGGACTGGCTCACCAACCAAATTCAAGCGGCTACCGAGAGATGCGGAAACCCACGAATATGTAGATGCTCCTTCAAAAAAAAGAAGCTCTGGAATCTGGTGCTACCCGAAGATAAACCAGTTGTTGCAATTGGCAACAGTGCTTTCGGTAATTTTTTGTAAATTTCACACCCAACAGATGCATGAGTGATTCATTTTTTTAACTTGATGTTTTTTCCTTTGATGGAAAAATTCTTTCAGCGCCGTGAAGAAGGATGTTGTTCTTGCTTTCACAGTCTTGTTTTGGACACTTCTTTGCCTTCGAGCATTTACGGAAGCCGTGGTTCCCATTGAGGCATGCGAAGCAATGGATTTGCTCAGCTAGAAATTTTGCCCGCTGAGTGGCATTCTTTTCCTTGTTTTTTTTACACAACAGGCACGGCAGAAAAATAGGCTTGCGTTTATAATCGCTAGTGCTTTATAAATACTTCGGTTTTTTCGGGTTTTACCATTTCTGCTGTTTTAGCTCTAGAACCAACAGTGCGTAATCTTTCGTGGCTCTGCCCTTTCTTATTTTAACCAATTATTGAAAACTAAAAGGCTAGGACGCTGCCAATTATGCGTAACGGTATGCATTACACAAGCTTCTTCAAGGTTTGTGAGAGCTTGGAGAGAGCCTGTTTTAGACGAATTTCGCTTTTAAGGTCATCTTGAAATGACAACGATTGAAAAATTGCGACCAGTCCTAAAACGGCGGAAGAAAAATTGATGAAGTTCTCTGAACTATGCATTTGGAAGGGAAACGAATTGTATGACGCTGGCCAAATTTTCTCTGCAAGGTAGCAATTGTATCATTGTATAAGACTTCACTATAACTGTCTTCGGCGATATCCGCTTTGGGTTTTCCTGTTTCGAGCGCTTTTTAAATCAATTGATTTCTCGTCATCACTCGGAAGGGCGCAATCGATGATTGAGGTAAATTGTCAAAAGCAGTCAAACCAGTTAAAAGCGTTACCATCCAATTTACTAAAAAAAATTGATTGCTCTACCGGATGTTCATATGAAGAATCATCAAGAGGATTAGAAAATCATTGGTAAGCGTGATTTGTACTTTAGAGATTAGCTT